ATATAAATGTGTGTGTGTGTGTGTGTGTGAATGAGAATGGGGTGTGTCCCTCAATAGAAATTCTTCCATCTGGGTTCAGATCGTAATTTTTACAATGTGAATTTAATAAAATCACATAATCTGACAGAACATTGTTTTTGCAGATTAAATGTGAGAGTGTTGTACGTTGCACTTAAACCAGTGTGTGCATAAAAAGGTTCTCAGGCACGCTGCCTTAACACACAGGAAGATTCAGTTCAATAAGGCTGCGTGTGTTTTATATAACGGGAACTAGGTCTTATATCCTGCTGTAGTGCTTTTGTGCACGATTTCACATATGGCTGTAGAAATGTGTAGAAATGAAATTTTTTGTAACATCTGGGGAGTAATTTCCCAAGTTGTTAATGCATTGTATTAAAGTTATTTTCTTGCTATATATATGTCGTATTTTTTTAAGATTATGAGCTGAAAGTGGACGTTTTATAGGTGTGTATTGTACTACCTGTGAGTTTCATACTGTGTTAAATGATAAGGCACTCTGAATCAGTGGGTCTAATGCGTGTTGGGTAAAAGGAACTGGGGAAAGACAAGAGGAAATGCATAGAAAGGCCAAAAAAGGTATGCTGAAACTGAATTTAATGATAAGGTAATCAGGTTTGATATATTGTTTTGACCTATTAGAACATTATATTTATTTTTTGTGTAGGTTTGGTTGTGGGGACCGCCATAGCAAACAAAACAATACTTGAGACAGATCTTATCACCCCCATCACCAACACCACCAGCACCTTCATCACCAACACCACCACCTTCATTACCAACACCAGCACAATGAACACGACCATCAATTATGATCAAACTACCATCAAGACAAGCAACTCAAGTACTGAAATGAACGTCAGCACTGAATCTTCTGGTGAGAGCTATTATCTGAACTCCTTTTACAATAAAGCCTATACTGTAAAGCAGTTCTTTCAGATATTTTAACCCTTGTAAATGGTCCAAACTTCACAGTTTCTTATTTTTCTTAACATAAAAAAAATGTTTTGATTGTTTTGTTGTAGGAAACAGCGCAATAAGTGTTGCTACTACAGGTAGAGCAAAGCCCAGCAGTCAGACTGTCCCTGAAACTAAATGGACCACAAAACCTCAAACCACACCTGCACCGGGTGGTCCTGTGACATCTCAAACCACAAAAGGCACATTCCCGAAGAGTAAGCTGGGACTGATTTCTTACATTACCAAAATCAGCATGATTATTCATAGCTCTCTGCATGCCAATAACTGTGTTGATTGTAATAAACCCTTCATCTGCAGATCAAACAGATGAAACAGTTGTTGCAACAATCCAATTGAAAAGGTTCGCACGATTTTGCAGTTCTCCTCATTTCGACAGGATTAGCTCACAGCCTCGTCATGCAACCGTTTTTAGTGGAAAACCTCAGATAAACCCTGGCGTGTTTGCATCGAGGCACGTTTTGCAGCTAAACATTCAGATATTTTCTGCAGGAATAAAACAAGAATGATGGAGGCAAACATAAGTTCCAGAGGCCAGAATTGGCCTAGCAAAGATACGAATTTGGTCCACTGGACATCTTTGTGGCCCTTGATCTTAAATGAGTTTCCCTGAGCTAGAGGAAAGAGTTGCTTGAAATTGCTTGAAACAAAAGTGCAAATGAATATGAATATCCTTAATGTCAGCTGTGGGTGTTTTTCGATTGGATTATGGATAGACTAACGTTTTATGACAACTCATTGGCAGGTTTTTTATTTCATACAAGCGTCTTGTATATCTCACAGGTTCCACGTCCAGTCCAAAGACAGCTGGCTCTGACAAAACTGGTGAGTTAAACATACGTCAGCATGTCTGTGCCTCACAGAGGCTAGAACTTTTCTGTCAAATCTAGTGTGTAAATCTACAGTCACATGCCACTTCATTAAGTCCACCTGTTCTTCTGCTCATCGATCAAATATCTGCTCAGCCAATCACATGACAGCAACTCAATGCATTTAGGCATGTGCATGAACAAGAGAGCGTCAGAATGGGAAGAAAGTTTTATTTAAGTGACTTTAAATGTCACGTGATTGTTGGGGCAGGATTGAGTATTTGGGACAACTGCTGATCTGGTGGGATTTTCCCCACACAACCATCTCTAGGGTTTACATAGAATGATCTGAAAAACAGAAAATATCTAGTGAGCGGCAGTACTCTGGGAGAAGGATAATAGATTGACTGCAGGGAAAAGCAACTCAAACTATCAGTTTGTGCTCGACACAAGGTGTGCAGAAGAGCGTCTCTGAATGCACAACACATTAAATCTTGAAGCAGAAGGGCAACGGCAGCAGGAGGCCCCATCAGGTGCCACTCCTGTTGTATAAGAACAGGAAAGTGAAGTTACAGTTTGCACAACTCAACAAAACTCGAAAACTGAATTTGAAAAATGCTACCTGATCTGTGGCGTTCTGGTGGTAGGGTCAGCAATATGCTGTAAAAGCATGGATCCATCCTGCTTTGTATAAATGTCAGAATGGACCAGAAACTTCTGAGGAATGTTCTCAGCACCCTGTTGAATCTACGCCTCGGAGAATCAAGGCATCACTGATTGCATAGTGTAACTAATGAAGTGTCCTGTGAGTGTAGGTCTTTACTTGGAGGTCTGTGGGTCACAGTGCATAGCCACAGTGTTGGCAGATGTGCTTCACTCTAAACATGAATTGTATTTCCTCCTTCAGGTATCATCGTTCTAGTCATTATCATCCTCGTGGTTGTGGCATTTTTACTTGTCTGTTACGTGACAAAGAAAAGAAGAAGAGTAAGTAAAGAAGCTCTACATTCAATACCCAACAAAGAATGGTTTGACTGGGTTTCATACTGTTTGCTAAACATGTAGGTACAGACAGCGATTTATTCATTAAGACTGGGAGTGTGCGGGGAACTGATATCCTTGTTTGGTCCAAAGATTTTTTCAAAATGTGTGGTATCATGGTCATATAACTGCAGCTTTTGTTGCTCAGTTTAAGCCAGGGATCTGTGTTGCATGTAAAGAAAAACATTTAAATAAAGGCACTAATGCGTTCCCCTGTGTTCTGGATCTCCTCAGCGCTACTCAGTTGATTTTTCCTCCAGACAAGATGAAGTCAACATCCCTCTCAGCACCGTGGAGCCTGTTGATACCGCACCTCAAAATGGTCAGTTATTGGCTGGAGACAATGTGTCGCCTTAAATATAACATCGTTCTGTTTTTTGAACCAGGTTCCTCCATCTGAATAAATAAACATTTTTCCTGTCTGAATATTTTTCAGGTCTGAAAACCTTCGAAAGTACAGAAACTACTGCGAAAGAGCCAGAAGAACTGGAGGCAAAGCCAGGAGGCGCAGATGAAGTTAAACCCGAAGCACAGGAGGAGCAGAAAGGTAAGAACAAACCTGTCTGGATCTTTTTCACAATATTTGACTTGTCACAATAGGAAACCCAGATTTTACTCACAACTTCAACAACGGTTTTTTGATATTGTACCAATAATTCACTTTGAATTTTTCACACCAGCGCCTTTCCTGTTATGATGTGTTAAAGAAAATGGTTTCCGCGTGTGTGAAACTCAGATAAACAGCATGTGTTTGGTGGATTAAAAATGGTGTGAGTGTATAACGGTGTTTGCCACTTCCTCTTTCTTAAGATGTGTTAAGAGAACAAAAAGGAAGTCCTGTTCGTGACACCGCTCCTCACACGTTACCGTAGCAACATCCACGGATGCTGTAAATATTGAAATAGTGAAATCTTTATGTGTACATGACTCAGACGTTGACTTAACGGTTAACACGAAACTTAAAATATGAAATGAAGTCAGTTTGTTTAGAGGGAAAATCTGATGCAATACACACCAGTCTGACTCACACAGTTCTCCAGTATTCTGAAATGTGTGTGTGCACAGCTAACAAAGTTTTCTAGTTTAAAAAAAGCTCCCACAACAGATGCCCTGCAGTACTTTAGCCCACCACTTGATGGAAATGGGAGCTAAGTTAAGAAACAAGGAGTATGGTTAGTTTCCCTTTACCCAAGTAGATGCAAGATCTAATAAATAAATAAATCCTGAGGTTGTGGAAAGCTGTATTCCTAAGCCTTTGTGCAGGGAATCATGGAGATGAGCTTTTGCTCTTCTGTGACTTTTATATACAACATTGTTCCCTTTTTGCCATGCACTTGCTCATTAAAATGTTGTTGCTTTAATATTTTCGTTTCCTTGTAAATGAATAAAGTTTGTCCGATCCTAGTATTCTCCTTGTGTGACATTGTGGCGTGTCTCTCTGACTTCCCCAACAATGTCTTGTCCCAGTTGTTGTGAAAAGGGTCTGCTTTTTGTTTGTTTCCCCCTCTCGTGTGACAGTAAAAATGAAATTTTGCCATCTGTGTTTGATACTAATGTTGTCTAATCTCTGTGACAAGAATCTGTAGCACCTACTAGAAATGTACACTCACTTGCAGACATTTGGGGAACTGCTACTGTTGGTTTTGTGGGCAAAAGAGGTGTCAAGACAGCAAGTTAGTTTCATTGTTTGTTAAAAAAAATTTTTTTAATATCTACTATTTTAGGGCTTGAAAAAATCATTTTAAATTTGAAGAAGGAAAAGTTGATTTGGGGGGGGGGGGCAATAGTTGAATTCGGTGTGAGAGGAAACAAGCATATACGCCCTTTTCAGGCTTTGGAAATTGAAGCCTGCTAAACACATGTCATTTCCATATAGGTAGTTTATGACATAGTACTGTGTAAAAAATCTTGTGCCCGTCGTTGCTTCTTCTGTATTTTACTGGAAACAGGTGCAGCAATTTAATGAAAAATCCACAATCATAAATGGAAATACAGCATATGAGGCAAAAAAAAGACCTCTTGAAAGCAAATTTTAAACAAACTAGAAAAAGTTGCATTTCCTGCAAAAATGCAGTGTGAATGCCGTGTAGTGGAATCTGAAAACAGCAGAAGAAGGAGAGCTATCTGTTGAAAACACTGTGTAGAAGCTGAACTCTGCTGAAAGCAGATTACATGTAAGCAGGGAAGATGTGCAGCATCTGTCACATGTACTCGAACCCTTGCCACCAGAGCTCACGGCAGCTGCGCATCCGACTGCGCCAAACCAGTTCTGGTCTCAAACATAGATATGATGAGAGAGAAAAAAAATGTGCACTGTGCAGAAGAAAAAAAAAAAAGAGGTGAAAATGCTGAATGTTCAGCAAAAAAGAGATAAGGAACCTGAAAATTGTGCTGAAAAGGGGTGAAAAGGCTGAAAACTGCTGATAAGAGGGGAATCAGCAGACTTTCTGCTGAAAAGAGGAAAAGAAGCTGAAGTTTGTGCTAAAAACAGCTTAAGAAGCTGGAATTTGTGCTGAAAAGTAGTGAAAAACTGAAAATGTTGCAAAAAGAGGTGAAAAGCTGAAATTTGTGTGGAAAAGAGTTTAAACAGTGGAAGTGTTAACTGAAATTTTTTTTGCCATAAGCGGGATTCGATCCCGGGCCTCCTGGTCAGAGAACGACTGCCCCTCTCACTGAGCTAAAACGTGGCTCAGCCCAGCAAGCAAAACTAGTGATCACACTGATAATGTGGTCCCTGTTAGCAAATGGGCCAAAAAATGGCATAAAAGGCTGAATATCTGAAAAAGTATAAAAGTTATCATCACCAAAAGATATAGCAGAAATAGCAGAACAGTTTAAAGTTTGAACGGTGAAAATCGACTGAAAACTGAGGGAGTAGTTAAGAAATGGAGCAACTAGAACAATAAAGGATAAAGAATAAAGAGAAACAGGGTCTCAATAGTGTGAATGCCTCACAGGCATTCACACTATTGAGGTGTAGCTCAAGATCAGCCTATTTTCTTGCATGTCAGATAGAGTGGTGTATAATCTTGTGCAGAGCGGTGCACAGACACAGATCTAACACAGACCCTGACTAGCAGAAAATAATGACTGCGCCTCACATTGACAGGCATCTTAAATCCACACATTGAGATAAGCACATTGTTGTGACTTTTGCAAACTGCGTGTCGTGCAAAAGGGGTATGGGCTGACGTTTTTAGGAGACTTTTCACTTGTCTTGTCTTGCTGACCACTGAGAGAGCTTTGCACTTCCAGAAATATTGCATACTGATTCAAACGGTGCATTTGTTACAGTTTATTTTGGTTGGGTTTAATATTTTTCTTCAGGATCAAAATTGCTGTACAGCTATTTTATATAGAAAGATTTAACTAATGACACAAAAGCTGACTCTTATCACCCATTATGATCTTTTATCAGGACCGAGTACTCCTCTGGCCAGTGAGTTGGCAACATTATTTATCATTTGTATTTGGACTGATCACAAATACTTCTCTTTTTTTCTCTGTACAGTGGCCATTTTTAAACAGAAAACTGTGTTTTAACCGTGGATACATCTCAAATATACAGATCAAATAACGCTCACACAGAAATCTAGAAATAAGCAATAGTTACTCACGTGTTGTCGGTGTGTTTAAGCATCAAATCAAAGCAGGCAGGATTTACTCACAATTGACAGCAAAAGCAAGGAAAGCAGCTGTCCTGGCTCTCTCTGAAATGAACCAATCAAAGGTCAGTTTGATAGCAAGTTAGTCTGCACAGCCCTTGACCTGAAAGGCAGCATGTATAAAAACTGCCATCAGTCTAGAAACGCACAATAATTTGCTCAAATGTGGGTATAATAGCTTGGTATATCTACAGGAAGTGTTTGAGGTGCTTTTTTTCAGCCATCCCACTGAAAAATCGAACACACGTGCTTCTATTTTTCAGCATTTAGAATCAGACTATATGTGTTAACTTGACGAGAAGCACTTTTTTTCCCCTTTTTTTAATGTAAATATTTAAATAGTGATTGTACTGTACTGTGAGTAAGTCAATACTGTGCTTGAATGGAAACACAAATCCAAGCTGCTGTTAACCAGCTGCTTTTGCTGCACTCAAATAAATATTTATGCCCAAAATCCTACGTAAATGTCCCGTGTAACTTTGTAACATAACTACAATGCCAAATGGAATCTGGTCAAATGAAACCTAGTTGACTGGTATACATGTCAGCTAGGTTTCACATTTCACTGTGTTATTACATCTTCCAACAAACCAATGCATTCTCATAAACTTATAATAAATCTATTAAAAATACATAGCAGTGGGTTTGTGGTTTGTGGAAGCTGCCCCACCATATTTGAATTCAGTGGCCAGGAATGACTCCTCGCTTCTTACTAATGGCATTTTATATTTGCGGCTAAAAACCGGCCACATATGTAGTAAGTTGTGCCTCAAACTTTAAACTCAAGATATTAAGCATAATAACTATGGTTTATCATTAGAGGCGGGGTCTTTTGATCCTTTTCCTCCTCACCTAAAATCTCATCTACTGAACTGAAGTCAGGGCTCTAACACAAATGCTAATTAATTACAGATATTATTGCACGTTCTTATTCTCAGTAGATTAGACATGTAATCTTACTGTCTCCAGACAGTTGACAAGTTTGCTATATGAAAACACCAGCTGGCTATAGGCTAACATTATGTCAGTTAATATTAGGCTTGAGTATCCTAAAAATCTCACCTTTCCTCTGATAAACAGTTACATACTCACGTCATATGAAATTTTATTTAATTAGTGGTGGAGTCCAGCAATTTTAGACCCACTTCAAAGGTTTCACTAATGCTAGCAAACAGCAGGTAACACAAGCTAACAACAGCTAACAGAGGCTAACAGTAGCTAAAACAGTAGCACTTACCAACAGCTCAGAATATCCCCAGCAACAATTCAACTCGGTAAGGCTGTCATGGTCAAAAGTGAGCTGATTCACATTGCACTCCTTTCACATAGTTTTAGAGTCCTTTTCCAGAGTGAATAAAGTTTCTCACCCAACATTGACAGCTGAGGTAAACAGTAGACCGACAGCCTTCCACAAGTAGGAAAAAACCGAGTTATAATTTTTATTTTGTTTTGTTTTTATCGGAGAACTGTACATGTGCAGCTTTTTCAATAACAAGGTATTCCTCACTTTATACTATATTTTACTCTTAAGGCAAAGGCTTATGGTGAGCTATATGTGGGGCTGAACAGAAACGAGAAAAAGGCTTATAAAGATCAGCTAGGCAGAGCTCAAACTGGAAAGGATGTGCAGCAGATTAGGGTGGTTAAGGATAGACATTGAACTCTTATAAAAAGTGAAGAGAGTATGTTGAGAAAGAGTACTTTGAGGAGCTGATAAGTAAGGGAAATGAGAGAAAAAGGACAACGGATGGAGGACAGTGAATCAGGAAGTGCAGAGGACTTGCAGAGGAGTGGAAGAGGCAGCTGGTCCAGATGGACGGTATGAAGATACGTTTAACCAGGACGTTTAACACAGTTCTGGAGGGAGCGATCATGCCTGAGGAATGGAGAATGGATGTGCAGAGCTGCGTCACTACAGAAGATAAAACTGAAGAATCATACCATGAAGCTAGTTGTTGAAGCTAGGGTTAAGAAGAGAGGTGATGATCAGTGAGCAGCAGTATGGTTTCATGTCAAGAACGAGCTCTACAGACGTGATGTTTGCTTTGAGAGTGGTGATGAAGAAGTACTGAGAACGTTAGACCTGTTGTTTGCAAATAGATGTGTTGCCCCCTGGTGGCAGTTGAAAATAAAGCAAAGAGTTGCGCATTGGCTTCATGTTTAAAACCCAAACGAAATAGTAGTTAGAGGCTGATTCATGCCAGGAATCCACCTGTGAAGAATAGTTTAGCAAAGGCTCGAATAACGACTGACCAGCCAGCTTAGTCATTCCACAATTACGTCTTGAAGAACAGCCATCTTCCTCTTTCCTTGATTTCTCCTTTCCCTCTCCCTAAGACTGGGTCAGATAATAATGGGGCCGCCCTACTTTCCCACAGCCTCCAACAGCTGCATGGCTGTGGCTCATTAGGAAGTGATCACTAATCAGCTGCCTCATTACCAACATGGTGGCCCCCTCAAATGCTTTTGCCCAAGAAATATCATGCCTGAGGACAAACTACTTCAGGCTGTTTAAGTGGAAATGCTGTGATTATGGGGCACCTAAATAATTCAAACAGCGGTTCTGCAATGTCATCTAGATTTAAAGGAAAAAATGAAGAAATGTTTCAAGAATTTCACACAATTAACTTATTGCAAAAGTTTAACATTCTGTCGAAAAGGTATGACACAAATACAGGGGCATTCCAGTATTTTCAAACTCAGTCCGTGTGTTTATTCTACTTATCCACATTGTTTCAGTTTCCATTTATTTTAATCACTGTTTTTTTATCTTGAGAACCACAAAAAACAGCTGTGCTTTCTGCTTTTGTTGTCCTTTACAGCTGAGACTGATAAATCTGTTGCTGATCCCAGCACTGAGTCTGCAACTCCAGCTCCTGCTCCCGCTCCAGACAGCTCTGAGGACAAGCCCAAAGCGGATGTAGCTGAGCCTCCTGCACCTGTGGAGTCCACTGTGGAAGTCAAAACTGATGATGAGGCCGCTGTCTCCAACAAGACTTCAGTGGAGTCCCTGAAGGAGACAAATGAGAACAACAGCAACAACGCTGGCTTCATTCAGACGAGAAGTTGGTATTTAGATCATTTGTTCCCTCTAAACATTCATCACAGGTCCTTCACCTTCGGAAATCCTAAAATACAGTTTACAGAAACGCCCGTATAGTACACTGAGGATGATGCAGGCCTTCAAACACTCAGGTCTCATGGATTTGTCTTAACAAATCCCAAACTCGCTCGCGAACTTACTGTTCTGCTTTAAGGGGTAAACGTTCAGCTCTTCCGCGTTCATATCCGAGTTACAACAAAATGCAACATTTCAACACACTGCCATCTAACAGAGAAACAACAAAAGCAGAACTTTCATGCATATTGTGAATTCCTTCCTCTATTTACCCTGAAAATCTAGTTTACTGTGAAACATTGGAAGGTAGATTAAGACTTTTTCTTTCAGCCTGACATGTGTACACAGTTCTTAGTCAGTGTAATTGTGTAAAGGATCTTCTCTAAAATGAGTGTGAAAGAATGCCCCTTCTAGTGGTTGGATAGTGTAAGTAATAGGGAATAACAGCATGTGTAGGTGTGATCTTTGCGATCAGCTGAACTCGAATCAAACTGATCTTCTAAAAATTGTCTTTTTGTGATAAATTTATTTAAGCAAAATCACTTAAAGAGTACTGTGACAGACTAGAGGTGTATCCAGGGTGTACCCCACTTCTTACTCTGTGGCATCTGGGATAGGCTCCCCCACTGTCAAAGTAAACCAGGAAACACAGGACAAGCACGGCGACCGAGAACTAACCACGAGACACGGCTGAGAGGGAAGACAGATGACTAAACATAGAAAGAACAAACCCTACACTAGAGATGTGACACACTAAACATGGAAGGCAAAGGGACAAAACCTAAGAACCAGGAATCCCAAAGACACAGACATGACACTGACTGAGAAGACAGGGGACGTGGAACATGGAGCATTGGAGGCGCACAGAAGCAGACACCAAGAGAAAATCATAAATAATGAAATCAATGACTATAAATAACACAAAAACACTCTGTCAACAACCATGACACCATTCAAATTTGGCTTAAGTCCATCAAGGTCTTCAGTGTCAACTTAATTATTAATTTATTGGTTGGAAAATGACAAAAAGCCGTGTGTATAGTCAACTTAAATTACTGGAAAAAGATTAAAAATATCAAGTATGATTGATCGGTAAAGAGATAATAATGCTGTATAGAGCTATTTAAAACTATGTTTTTACTGCCATTGTTTGTATTGGCACCATATGGGCATACGGGCAATGATATGGATATGTGGATTTTTAATATCACGTTACTTCGGACCTCTAACCTGTTCTTCAAGGTCAAATAAGGTCAAACTTTCACAAAATGTCTTTAAACAGATAAGAAATTATGCTGGCATACCCAGAAGAAAAAATGTTTAGATTTTATTTAGATAATATCTCTTAAATTTGTGTTTTAAAGTGACACTTTGCTGGTTTTTTCCCCAAAATTGTTTTTTTTTT